ACAGATCAAGTCGCTCAAAACACACAGGCAATAGGAAATATTCAAACAGCTATAACAGAAAATCAGAAACTAGCTGAACAAGCAAATTTAAAAGCAGACCAAAATAAAAAGAATATAGAGGAACTAAGAGGGGAAGTAAGGCCACTGAGCAGACAGGTCAATGAACAGCAGGCGTACCTGTCCATGGCAGAATTGAAAAACAGGGAAAGCAATCTCAGGCTTAGAAATATCCCAGAACTTGAGAAAGAGATTTGATTGGTTTTTTGACAGCAGAATTATCTAAGTTCTGGGGTTTGGCAGAGGAGAAGGACTTTAAAATTGTCACCGCTTTTAGATTGGGAAGAGTGGCCAAGAAGGACAAACCAAGAGATTGCTTGATCATTTTGGGATCTAAGCAAGAAAAAGACAAAATATTAGGCCTACATTTCAAAAACTCATTGGTGATTCAGGGAAAGACAGCAGAAATCTTCAGAGATATACCGAAACAATTGTTGGACCTAAGAACCACATATAAAGACCTTGCAAGTTTATTGAGAAACAACGCAATTCCCTATAGGTGGGAATTCCCTCAAGGACTATCTTTCAGCATTAAAGGGAAAAAAGTGAGAATTAGATCAGCAGAGGACCAAGAAAAGTTCCTGAACGACTACGGGGAGGATCTTCGGAAAGGAGTAGCAGGAGCCTGGTCACTACCTCCGCCTGGCTCAACACCAATCCCACCTCCAGACATTGACGACAAGGGAGACACCCCTATTGGCTGACAAATTGATTCAAGATGTCTCTGCAGCTGCTTAGTTGGAACATTCACGGTGCAAATTCCCCTGAGAAACGAAAAAGGATCTTTCATATATTGAGGAAGGAACAATTGGACATTATCTGTTTGCAAGAGACACATGTGACTAGGCTCCATAGGAGAGTTTTGATTAATAAAAGATTAGGCCAAGAATTTATTTCTTCAGACAAAGTTAAGAAAAGAGGAGTAGTGATCTATGCAAAGGAGAACCTAGCACCAAAGTTTTTGTTCAAAGATGAACAAGGAAGAATCCTGGCGATTGAAATACAAATACAAGGAGAAAAATTTTTGATAGTAGGAATATATGCACCAAATGAGGGGAAATCGGAATTTTACAAAAAGCTGCATGAGATAATGTTGGATCATATTGACTATACTAACATCATTTTGATGGGAGATATGAATGGGGTGGTCTCCACCTATATGGATAAGTCACAAAGCCAAAATTTGACTAAAGATGGCAGACTACCTAAAACTTTTTTTGAACTAACAGACAACATGGACTTGACTGACATTTGGAGGACAAAAAACCCACTAGGTAAAGAAGGGACATTCTTTTCTGAGGCCCACCTATCATGGACAAGAATCGACCAAATCTGGATAACTAGAGGACTGGCACCCAAGATTAAAAAAGTAGAGATCTGCCCTAAAACTTGCTCCGACCATAACGCCTTGAAAATGGACTTGAGACTGACGCCAGCTGGATCCTTCAGATGGAGAATGAATGACACCCTGTTTAGAGATCAGGAGATAGTGAAGAAGGCCCAAAAAACGTTGAAGGACTATTTTGAAATAAATTTGAACACTTCGGTGGAAAAAAAAATAATCTGGGACGCAAGCAAAGCTGTTATGAGAGGGTTTCTGATACAACAGAATTCTATTAAGAAAAAACTCTGGAATGGTAAAAAGGACAAGATTTTGGAGAAGATAAGAGATGGAGAGAAAAAGTTGAGACTTAATCCAAAATCAAAAGAAGTTTTAAGAGAAATAAAATTCCATCAAGCACAATATGCGAAATTGATAAATCAAGAAGTGGAATGGAAAATTAAACAGATGAAACAAAGATCATTCGAATCGGCAAATAAATGTGGGAAGCTGCTGGCATGGCAGCTGAAAAAGAGACAAAAATTGAACTTCGTCACCAATCTGGAGGTTGAAGGAAAATGTATTCAGAAACCAGAAGAAATCAGAAAGTGTTTCCAGAGATATTTCAAAAAACTGTTTACTCAAGGGCCTCAAGCAGAGACTGAGATAAACCAATTTATAAAGAGTCACGGTTTGCAAAAACTATCTCAAGACAAACAAACAACCCTGAATTACAAAATAACACAACAGGAAATTGAAAGTGCCATTCAGAATATGCAATTAGGCAAATCCCCGGGCCCAGATGGACTTACCTCCAAATATTATAAGATATTGAAGGAGCAATTGACTCAGCCACTAATGGAGGTATGCAATCAAATTATGGAAGGGAAGGGAGCACCAGAATCGTGGAAAGAAGCCTTCATCACTTTGATACCAAAACTGGAATCTGAAAAGACTCAACTTAAGAACTACCGTCCCATCTCACTCTTAAACGTGGATTACAAAATTTTTGCTGATATTTTGGCAAGTAGATTTAAAAAGGTTTTGAATGAAGTAATTCATAAGGACCAAGCGGGCTTTCTACCTGGTAGGCATTTGTCTGACAACATCAGGAACATTATTGATGTTTTGGAGTTACTGCAGACAAATTTGAACACGAAAGCAGTTTTGATTTTTATAGACGCTGAGAAGGCCTTTGACAATATATCTTGGAAATTTATGAAGGAAAATCTGGAAGGGATGGGAGTGGGAAGGGCATTCCAAAATGGTATTGAAGCAATCTATTCAGAACAAAAGGCTAAATTGATAGTGAACAATGTGGTGACAGAGGAGTTCAAAATTGAAAAAGGGACACGACAGGGGTGCCCCTTATCACCCTTGTTATTTATCTCTGTCCTGGAGGTGTTGCTGAATTTGATTAGGAAGGATCAACTGGTGGAAGGAATACAGGTCGGAGGAAAACAATATAAGCTGAAAGCTTTTGCAGATGATCTGGTTTTAACATTACAGGAGCCAGAACCTAGTACAAAAAGAGCTTTAGAATTAATTTATGAGTTTGGTCGGGTGGCGGGATTCAAGCTGAACAAACAAAAGACTAAGGTTTTAGCAAAAAACTTGACATCTTCAGAAATAGATGGGTTTCAAAAGGAAATGGAACTAAAGGTGGTTAAAAAGGTGAAGTACCTGGGGGTTAACATGACTGGGAAAAATTTGAATTTGTTTAAAGACAATTATGAAAAATGTTGGTCAGAAATTAAAAAGGATCTAGAAATTTGGTCAAGATTGAAACTTTCCTTGTTGGGAAGAATTGCAGCTGTGAAAATGAATGTATTGCCAAAGATGTTGTTTTTGTTTCAAACCCTGCAGATCGTGGACAGAGTGGAATGTTTTGGAAAGTGGCAGAAGGACATCATGAAGTTTGTCTGGCAGGGCAAAAAGCCCCGGATAAAATTTAAAATACTAACAGACGCAAAAGAAAGAGGGGGATTTGCCCTGCCGGACTTAAGGTTATACTATGAAGCTGCGTCCTTCTGCTGGATGAGGGATTGGTTTTTATTGGAAAACACTGATGTCCTAGATCTGGAAGGGTTTAACAATGCGTTTGGGTGGCATGCATATTTGTGGTATGACAAGGCAAAGGCTCATAAATTGTTTAAAAACCATATTGTCAGGAAAGCTTTGTTTAATGTCTGGATTAAATATAAAGACTTACTTGAAAATAAGACTCCGAGGTGGCTATCACCAATGGAGGCTAAGGCCCCAAAAAGGCTTAACATGGAGGGTGGCTGGGCAAAATATTGTGAGATAATAGAAAGAGTCGGAGACAATTGGAAGTTGAAGAGTCTAGAAAAATTAAAAGACAAGGTGCGAGACTGGCTACACTATGCCCAAATACAAGAAACTTTTAAAAAGGACAAAAAAATTGGATTCCAGGTGGAGAAATCGAAATTAGAGACAGAATTACTTGAACCTAAGACAAAAGTGCTTTCAAGAATGTATAATTTGTTGCTTAAATGGAACACACAGGATGAGACGGTTAAATCAGCCATGATAAAATGGGCACAAGACATTGGGTACAACATTATGTTTGAAGACTGGGAAAGGTTATGGACCACCGGTATGAAATTCACGGCATGTACTGCCCTGAAAGAAAACATTATGAAAATGATATACAGGTGGTACATGACCCCAGTCAAACTTGCAAAGATATATCATCTGTCTGACAATAAATGTTGGAAATGTAAGGAGGCTGAAGGAACATTCTTTCACCTCTGGTGGACATGCCCGAGGGTGAAGGCTTTTTGGGAAATGATTTATAATGAGTTGAAAAAGGTATTTAAGTATACCTTTCACAAGAAACCAGAGGCCTTTCTCCTGGGCATTGTGGGCCAGAGAGTGTTAAAGAAGGACAGAACCTTCTTTCTATATGCAACTACAGCAGCAAGAATCCTTATAGCAAAATATTGGAAGGCACAGGAGTTACCCACGCTGGAAGAGTGGCATACGCAACTGATGGACTATATGGAACTGGCTGAAATGACCGGCAGAATCCGGGACCTGGGAGAAGAGGCAGTGGAAGAGGACTGGAAAAAATTTAAGGACTATTTGCAAAAATATCATAAGTTATATGAATGTTGAGAATTTGCTAAGCTTGGTGAAAACAAACTTCGGCAATTAAGTTTGATTATGGTGGAAATTAAGTTACGAGAGTGAAAGGACTAAATTTTAGAGTAATGTTTATATTTTCAGGATTGATGGAAAAGTGAATACACAACAAGTACCCTAAATTTAAAATACAAATAGATGAAAGTACAAAAACGCATGAAACAAGGTATTAATTTGCTGTTATTTTTTTTATTTATGGTAAAGAATGCAGGGGGTGGAGGATGTGAGGAAGTCCAGTGGATTATGAAAAATTGTCTGCAAAATGTGAATCTTTTCTTCTTTATGATTTTTTTTTCTTCTTTTTTGTAAAGTCGCTTTTGTTGAATTATGGACGATGTATCTGACCTTGGAAAGAAGCAATAAAAAATATTATTAAAAAAAAACAAAAAAAAAACAAGCTGAGGTTTGACGGGTAAGGAGCTGGTGTAGGAAGCTATTGCTGAGATCTCCAGCCCTCTAAATTCCTTCTGCTTTCATTTCAGATGAGGTCTGTATCTGTGGATCTAAATATTGACCCTTCACTGCAGATTGATATCCCTGATGCTCTCAGTGAAAAAGACAAAGTGAAATTCACAGTCCATACTAAGGTAAGATGGCAGGGAAGAAGGATAATTAGAGTTGGGACAAAGCTACAACTTTACCATGTTCAGTGACCAAGGTAACTTCTATGAAGTTACAGGTTAGTGAATATGGCTTGGAAAATAGCCTTACCTCACATAAATTGAAATAAAAGCATTTTAATGCCAGTTGTTTTTTTTTAAGATGATGTGCTCTGTCTCTCCAAAATTATCTCTTGGGAAATCTTCCCTCTACAGTGGACCCTCGGGTTATGTACCTCTCTGGATATGTAATCTTCGGGTTGCCAAAATGGCAAACCTGGAAGTATTTTTCCGGGTTTCGCTGCTCGCACATGCACAGAAGTGCTCTATCGCACCGTGGATGTGTGCAGAAGCGGCTCCTCTGGTTACAGATTTTTTTTGGGGTACGTACGGACCCCTGGAATGAATTAAATCCGTATCCAGAGGGTCCACTGTACTTTTTATTATGATTTTTTCCCCACTTGCTTCCATATACATCTAAATACCTCTTGTACTAATCAAGATTGAGCAGTGTATTGAAAACCACCTAAAAAGCCATATATCATGTTTCAAACCAATATATATATCCATTTATATAAAATTCAAAATGAACCATGGCCAAAATAAGCTGAGATTTTGTTTAAATTGAATAAAAGCAATATTTCAGGGAAGATGTTGCTCATGGGTCATTTTAAGATATTGGTTTGGGGTTCAGAAATTTAAGATACTGATTTTTGGTTCATTTGTTTAATCTCACTTTATATTCACACATTATATTACTGCTTTTAATAACATGTAGTAATTCAGATTTGATTTCAGTAAGTGGGGGGGGGGGGCAGGGAGATTTGGGTCTGTAAACTTAAAATCAGTTCAGTCCTTTTCTGTTTGTTTGTATCTTGACTTCTAAACAGTTTTTGATGGCAGTTGTGCTGTCTGCATGGATCTGAATACGGGATATGGTTGCAACAGCAAGTGAGGAAAGCTAGGAGTGGACTTTTGTGTAGAAGGGCTGTAAACTCCATTTCTGGCATTCAGAACAAATTTCTCATCTCTTGTCTCAGAATCCTTTAATTTTACATGTGTTTCTTTACACCCGGCTCCAGTTGGTGGTTCTCAGGGTTCTAGTTTTTTAAAAAAGTAGATCCTACAAACCTGAAGGGACGCGGGTGGCGCTGTGGGTAAAACCTCAGCGCCTAGGACTTGCCGATCGTCAGGTCGGCGGTTCGAATCCCCGCGGCGGGGTGCGCTCCCGTTGCTCGGTCCCAGCGCCTGCCAACCTAGCAGTTCGAAAGCACCCCCGGGGGCAAGTAGATAAATAGGGACCGCTTACTAGCGGGAAGGTAAACGGCGTTTCCGTGTGCTGCGCTGGCTCGCCAGATGCAGCTTGTCACGCTGGCCATGTGACCCGGAAGTGTCTTCGGACAGCGCTGGCCCCCGGCCTCTTAAGTGAGATGGGCGCACAACCCTAGAGTCGGACACGACTGGCCCGTACGGGCAGGGGTACCTTTACCTTTTTACCTTACAAACCTGAAGTCTTCCCACCCATGTTCCAGCTTAACAGTCTCAAAAGCCTACACTATTTATTATTTTTATTTTTTGTATTAATGAGGTCCAAAGGAGTAACTGATTTCTGTTTTCAGACTACACTGCCAGTTTTTCAGAGCACAGAATTCTCAGTTACAAGACAGCATGAAGATTTTGAGTGGCTGCATGACACATTTATTGAGACAGAAGAGTATGCAGGACTAATTGTAAGTACTTACAAAATCTGATTTAAAATGCAGACATCTTTGCTAAACAATGAAATTGCAAGTTGCAAACAAGTAATTCTGTGGTTTCTGATTTTTTGTTTTAGAATTTCATAGTACTGATTCTTAATCTCCAGTGTATATTGATAAATATCTGTAGCCTTGAAACTCATTTCAATGCATGAGTGGGGTTGCTATGGATATTTCGGTTATGCTGCAGTTCTGTACCCACTTAACCTGGGATTAAACCCCATTGGGTTCAGTGAGACTTACTTCTGAGTAGACATGGGTAGGATTGCACTATTAAGTAACCACATTTCAACTCTTTACAGTAACTAATTTTGAGTTTATCAAATAACGAAACCTTATTGAGGGTAGCAAGATGATAATTTAATGAAGTAGTGATACTTCATTGGTGAATTCTTTTGTGAAATTCCCTCCAAAAGGAGATCTGAGAAGAGCCAGAGATGTGGATCTTGCGGAAGTGCAGTTAAATTCTTCTTTATTTTGCCAATCTTTGAATTGTGTGGTTTTCTGAGTTTTCTCCAGTTTTTAAAATAAATTTTATTGTACTATTGTTGGTTTGGATTTTTTTTTTAGCTTGTTGGTTTTATTGAATACTGAAGTGGTTGAGAAATGACATATATGTTTAGCAGCAAGAGTGTGTGTATGCTTGTGTGTGCTAGAGTGCTGTTCTCAGTTTCAGCTCCAAGAGCATTTGACACCCCTCAACAATTGCCCCTATTTTTTGTGCTACAAAGGCAATGAGATTATTGTCAGGAGTTTGCACACATCAAATTTCATCATTTTATTTAAATTAGACATACAATACAATACTACTTTTTTGAGATGCAGTTTGCATTTACTTTCAATGTGCTACGTCTCCACCACTGTCTATCCTCAATCTCCGTCCCACCAGATCTGTAGCTACAGATTTGCCCTTAGAACACTCTGAATACATTGGTCATATTTTAGTTCATTTCACATCTTTTCAGCATTTACACTGCTGTTCTATAGCGAAATATTGTTATACTATACTGTACCTAAGTTATTTATTTATTATTTACTTTAACAATGTATATACTACTTAATTACAGTAGGAGACACAATACAATGAAACTAAATATGACTAAAAGCTATTATTCTATTAATTCTATTAAAAAATGAAAAAAAAAGTCTTCAGAAAGCACTGAAAGCTCAACAGAGAGGTGGCTTTTCTGACCTCACCTGGAAGGTATTTCCATAAAAATTAGATGTTTGACTTGCAGTGTTCTTGTAGAAATTGCTAGACAGTAGAAATTACTGAAGTTCTCTTTTTTGGACAAGGAGGTTCCTAACAACAGATCTTATTGTCTAAGATTCCTCCAGCACCTGCAAAGCCTGACTTTGATGGCCCCAGAGAGAAGATGCATAAGCTTGGGGAAGGAGAAATGTCTATGACAAAAGAGGAATTTGCCAAAATGAAGCAAGAGCTGGAAGCGTGAGTGTGATCATACTTAACGAAAAGACCCTCTATATCCCATGTAAATGTTTGCTTGCTGACAAATCTATGTGAGTGTAAAGAAGGCTTCTGAACTGTCAAGACTCTACAGGTTAAAACAGCCTAGTAAGTTTTCTGAATTTGCATTGTCTTCCCACTCCTCTGCATGGTCTGTTAGTTTAGTTTAGTTTAGTTTGTTGCATTCATATCCTCCCTTTATTCTAAGGACAATATATGGGTAGCTCAGTTAGTTAGAGCATGGTGCTGATAATGTCAAGGTTGCACGTTTGATCCCCTTATGGGACAGCTGCATATTCTTGCATTGCAGGGGTTAGACTAGATGATCCTTAGGGTCCCTTCCAACGCTACAATTCTATGATTTTACCCTCTCAGCAAACCTTGTGTGCAGGTTTGGCTCTGAGGTAGTGACTGGCTCAAGTTCACCCAGTTAAAGTCCAAGTGCCAATGGGGATTTGAAGCCAGTTTCCCCAGTCCTAGTTAAAAGCTCATGTTATTTAAATCTGTTTATACACCACTATTCAGACAATTTGTCATTTACAAGCTTAAGAAAACCTATAACATAAGTAAACATTTCAATAAAGGTACAATACATGATAGCAGTCTGGCATCCAGTGTTTGTGAAAGGTTGGGTTAGGCGAATTCGCCATTCTCCAAAAAGAGAATAGACCTGTCTTGGTAGACTATTCCAGAGCATCAGAGCTGCTACGAAGAAGGCTCCTCTCCTGTTTGAGGGTAACCTAGGCTTCCCATAAGACATGTTTCAAAATAGGGTCTCCTCAGAAGATCTCAAGTCCTGGGAGAATTTGCACATTCTCAGAGATTACTAGAACCAAGTTGTTGAGGGCTTTAAAGTTAAGAACCTGTGCTTTCGATTAGGCCTGGAAATCAACTTGGGATCCAATTTGAAGGCAGAGTTGCTGTTAGTGTGAATGTCATCTGTCCAACTAGCTGGTAATCTGTTCTGGAAGGAGTTAACATGCACACACGAAAAAGAAGAGATAGGGAGCCTGTGGCTGTCCAGATCTTGACTGACTCTTCTGACTGGATCAAATTAGGAATTGGAGTCAGCAATGGAGGGCTACAGGTCCCCCATCCCTGCCTAGAATGATCTGGCTTGTAGACTCTTTGATCCAGCATTGTCATCGGAGACAGATATGTATGGTGGCTTGTAGCACCTTTATCAGCTTAGTGTCACAGTCGATCTATCAGCCTGTCATGACAGAAAGCCTTGCAGTATTTTTTTTTTAGTGGGATTAAAGGGTAGGTCTTAAGTCTGAGAGGTTGAATACTGATTTAAAATATCAAGATATGGGTGTGTGTGAAGAAGCTAAAGTTCATATCTGGATACAAGAACCAGTGCTTTTTTTCTAGGGGGATGCAGGGGTACCCTAAACATTTTGTGAATCGAAGTTTGGCCTCATTGAGGGGCAGTATCTCAATATGAGAAGGAAAATGAGAGTACCTCTAAACATTTTTTAGGAAAAAAGCTCTGACAAGAATTGTACGTGATGGAAGTTATCCCAGTTCAGCAAGGGAGATGAGTTTGCTGTGAAGCAGGAGCCCAAAGTCCTGCTTCTGGGGATGGTCTATAATTCCAGTCTCTGGCTGTGCGTGTGGTTCCTACTGCCAGATCTGGACCTGTGCACATAATTCGAGGTATATGGTCATTGCAGCCACTGATTGTACAGTTGGGTGGGAGAGTGGCATCTAATATGTCATCTAAAATGTAAATAAGAAGTTATGGCATTCATCATTGAAAGCAATTACAGTCATACCTTGGTTTTCGAACAGCTTACTTCTCAAAGGCTTTGCCTACCGAACGCCGCAAACCCGGAAGTGACTGTTCCGGTTTGCGAACTATTTTTGGAAGATGAACACCCGCAGCTTCCAATTGGCTACAGGAGCTTCCTGCAGCCAATCAGAAGCTGTGCTTTGGTTTCTGAATGTTTTGGAAGTCAAATGGACTTCCAGAACGGATTCCGTTTGACTTCCAAGGTACAACTGTAATTGACTGCAATTAGCTATGATTCCAGCTCCGCGATTCTATGCGAGAAGATACCTGCAATGCTTGTATGCACAGCGCACTACGATGCAGGTGCACCTTAGGCCGAAGTGTGCACAATGTGGGGCACATTTTTTTTCATTCCAATATTATTTTTCTTCCAGGGAGTACCTTGCGGTCTTCAAGAAAACCGTATCGTCACATGAAGTCTTCCTTCAGCGAATTTCTGCCCACCCTCTTCTCAGCCAAGATCACAACTTTCATGTCTTCCTTGAGTATGATCAGGATGTAAGGCACATCTGCTTTTCATTTATTTGCACTATTTCTAAACCAGCCTTCATCAAAAATATCCCAGGATGATTTACAGATCGTTAAATTAAAACATCAAAATTCATAATTAATATAAGCATTAAAATATAAAAACAGAATTATTCCATTTAAAACAATCCAGACAATTACAAGAACCACTGAAAGAATCAAGCCCCCAAAAATCCTGTCAAGGGAAGGCAAAACTGCATTTACTGTATTTTTCGCCCTATAGGGAACACCAGCCCATAGGGCGCACCTAGTTTTTTTGGGGGGAAATAAAGAAAAAAATTATTTCCTCCCCAGGCGCGGGGCTGGGGTGGGGGAAGCCCGAGCTTCTCCCAACCCCAGCCCCCGCCCCCAGAACAGGCTGCTATCCGCAAGCCTAGGGAGCCCGCGGGAAGTCGCGCCGGTCTCCCCAGGCTTGCGGATATCTGCCTGAAGGCTTCGGGATGCAGGCATCTCTCTTCGGGATGCAGGCAACTCTGCAAACCAGGTCGGGGAATAGCGGGTTTGCGGCGCTCCGCCTCCCTGCTGTGCCCCGAGCTTGTGGGGCTGGCGGTGGGGAGAAGCGCGCTTCTCCCCACCGCCAGCCTCCAAACCAGCTCGGGGAATAGCAGGATGGCAGCGCTCCGCCTCCCCGCTGTCCCCCGAGCTTGTGGGGCTTCCTGATATCTGGAGGAAGCCCAGGGCGCGCTGTGCAGCGCGCCCCGGGCTTCAGGATGCAGGCTGCTATCCGCAAGCCTTGGGAGCCCGACGGGAAGTCGTGCGGGGCTCCCAAGGTTTGTGGATAGCTTCCTGAAGCCTGGAGAGCGAGAGGGGTCCATGCGCACCGACCCCTCTCGCTCTCCAGGCTTCAGTGAAAGCCTGCATTTGCCCCATAGGACGCACACACATTTCCCCTTCATTTTTGGAGGGGAAAAAGTGCGTCCTATAGGGCAAAAAATACGGTAAGCCATATACAACTTAACATTGCTTCCATAAATAATACCTATCTAAGTTGAGGACAGCTGAACTATGGAACTCCTTGCCACAAGGAAAGTGCTGTGGCAAAGAATTCAGCAATTTTTGAAACAGGATTAGAAATAATAAAATTATGTCTGCAGTTGCTGATTGAATATGCCAAACTCCATCTGCCACAATTTTGTAACTGGCTCTGCTCCTGTAGCGCCAGTAGTCCTCATTAATAGCTACCACTCTAAAGTGGGCTCTGTGCGTAGAATGCTGGAAATGCATGGGTTAGGGTATGGTGCCAATAGCACCAAGATCACAGGTTTGAATTCCAGCATAATGATAATGGATAGTTTATCACTGCCTAATGTGTCTCTTTCCATATCTCTCTTAGCTAAGTGTTCGGAGGAAAAACACAAAAGAAATGTTTGGTGGCTTCTTCAAAATTGTGGTGAAGAGTGCTGATGAGGTTCTGTTCTCTGGGGTTAAAGTAAGAGTTCTTAAAGCTAGATTATCTCTTGTGTTATTTTCCATAAATCTGTATGCCTGCTTACGTATACTGTATTACTAGCATTTAAAAACCTTTATTCCAGTTGCTCTCTTGGATTTTAATAATTTTCATATAAATGCTGATGTTGTTTTGAACTGCTTTTATATTTATTTTTTTAAAATCTTTTTATATATGCAATTGTTTTAACTGCTTTTTTTGTATGTTAACTGTTTTATTGTAAATCACTTCCAAGACTTTCTGGCATGAAACTGTGCAAATTGTGTTGCTAAGAACAAACACTTAGGCTCATTCTTTAGCAATGGAGTGGGTTGGGGGGGGCAAATCGGGGGCTCCAGGACACCATGAATTCAGTACTACTGTGAGCACTCCTCCGCCCTATTTTTGGAGGTATAGACATAACAACAGCCCTGCTGGATGAGAGCAAAGTGCTATCTTCCCCATCACTTTCCTTTCCACTGTAAAGTAAAACTAACTTATCAGGATTTTTATATGGGGTAGGGAACAGAGCTGAGGGAATGGAGATTGCTTGTGCAGTGAACCTATCACAGCAGGACTTTCAAAGCGTTTTTCTTTTTTTAAGGCTGATTATTTTGAAAAGATTTAAGTAACTTTCAGGTAAAAGGGGGTTGGGGCTGTTGTAATTCTGCACACGTACACAGACCTTCACATGATGTTCACTTGTTTCAGGGAAGGCTTCAAGTAGCTAAATATTTTGTAAATGATTTCAAAAGCCAAGCTCGTATTGCATTCCTACTAAAGAGGGTTGATGTGAAAGTAACTCTAGCCTAATTTTCGCGTTTTCTTGGTCAAAACACTACCTTAATCATCCGAAAATCTCTCTCTAGGAAGTAGATGATTTCTTTGGACAAGAGAAGATGTTTCTTATAAACTACTACAACAGAATCAAGGATGCATGTGCAAAGGCAGATAAGATGACAAGAGCGCATAAAAGTAACCTTTTTACCTATAGAGACACTTAAGAGTATTTTCTAAATACAGTGGTGCCTCGTAAGACGAAAAGAATCCATTCCGCGATTCTTTTCGTCTAGCGGTTTTTTCGTCTTGCGAAGCAACCCCATTAGCGGCTAAGCGGATTAGCGCTATTAGCGATTTAGCGCTATTAGCGGCTTAGCAGGCTTAGCGGCTAAGCTGTTAAAAGGCTATTAACGGCTTGGCGGCTTTGAAAAAGGGGGGGGAAGCGGGGGGGAAATGGCGAGACTCGCAAGACGTTTTCGTCTTGCGAAGCAAGCCCATAGGGAAATTCGTCTTGCGAAGCGCCTCTGCAACGGAAAACCCTTTCGTCTTGCGGGTTTTTCGTCTTGCGAGGCATTCGTCTTGCGGGGCACCACTGTACTGCTCAGTTCAGAGACAAGACTGAAAGTGTTTTGTGTTCTTTCTCAATAGATGTTGCAGATGATTATATTCATACTTCGGCTTGCTTAAATAGTCTGGCTCTAGAAGAACCAACTACCATTAAAAAGTAAGTCCATGCCATTCCTCTTCAAAAATAGCTCTGGCAAAGATTCTCAAACTTTCATTGTACACAGGTTGTACATTGACAATAAAGGTATTATTATTATTATTATTATTAATTAATTAATTTATTTATTTATTTATTTATTTATTTATTTATTATTACTTTGTCACAGTGACAAAGGCCACTAAGGTTCAAAGTAGATGTGATGTGTCAGATTCATCATCTGCTATCCTGATAACTTTTTATTTTATTTAAATGGCAGCAGGACATGTTAGGGGTGACACAGCTGAGACCTCGTGTATAATTAAGCCAAATCAAAGACCTGAAAACAATATTAAAGGGAAGTTAGAATTCAGAATATTAACTTTTGGTGCCTTCTGTAAATTTGTTTAGTTTTCATGCTATTTCCTTTTATTTTTCTGCCTTTGATTTTCACTTTCTGTATTTCTTTCCTATTGATTCTTTTTTGCTAGTAGGTGATATCCAGCTTAGGGAGTTATCCAACTGTACTGTTTCACTAGGACAAGAACTTTCAGCTGTTCAAGAGAACCATCCCCGCTTCTCCCTATGCTGCCGCCCCCTTCTAGCTTGACCTTTGAATCTATTCCAGTGGTTCCCTCACCTCTCTGGAACAGATTTACAGGGCGTGCAGGGTGAGGAGAGGGTGAAGAATTTCCATTGCACAACTAAGAATCCTTACACTAGTGGAACTGTTCAGTTGGATACTGTCCCATGTCATATTCAGCATAGACCTATTGATTTCAGTGGGTTTCCTCTGAGCATGATGAATGTTGATATCACCTAGTGTCTGTAAATTTCTCTGTTCTTTGTTTTTGTCTTAATACTATTGATTTCTCAACTGGCAGCTAGCTGCTTCTGCTCCCTGCATTCTGCTGTTCTTACCCTCTCGTGTAACAGCAATTGACTCCTGTGGATTCATTGGGCTGTATTCAACTAAATTGTTGCCCTAGCAGAAACCAGTGTAATGAGTCCTACTAGGGTAAGAGGACTGCCCTTGCTTCTCCTTGCCACCCACACCCTGATCTGCTCTGGAAGGTCTTGAGAGCCCCCAGAACAGCATACAGAGCAAGGAGAGGGGAGAACATTCCATTGGGCAAGCAGAAATGCCTGTACTGATGGAACAATTTCCTTAGGACTCTCATACCTATAGGGCCATGTCTCCTAGTATGTCCCACAGAGGACCTTACAGTCTTCAAACACATCTTGGAGGTCCCGGACCACAGGGAGGTTAGGCTGGCCTCAACCAGAGCCCAGGGCTTTTTCGGCTGTGGCCCCAATCTGGTGAAACGCTCTGTCACAAGAGACTAGGGACTTGACATCTTTCCACAGGGCCTGCAAGACCGAGCTGTTCCACCAGGCCTTTGGCCAAGGCACAGTGACAGAACTCTAGCCCAATGGTTGCCATTAATCTGATTTTGAATTGATTTTAAAATGAATTGATTTCAGAATGCTGTTTTACTTTTATTGTTGTTAGCCGCTCTGAGCCTTTTATTATTATTTTTTATTATTATTAGAGCTACTTTGAATGCAACCCCTTATAGTATTTTTTGCTGCCAGTAAAAGGTAAATGTAAAGGACCCCTGGACGATTAAGTCCAGTCAAAGGTGACTGTGGGGCACGGCGCTCATCTCACTTTCAGGCCGAGGGAGCCGGCGTTTGTCCACAGACACCTTTCCGGGTCACGTGCAGCATGACTAAACTGCTTCTGGTGCAGTGGGACACCGTGACAAGTGCCAGAGCGCACAGAAGCATCATTTATCTTCCCACCACAGTGGTACCTCTTTATCTAGTTGCACTGGCATGCTTTCGAATGGCTAGGTTCGCAGGAGCTGGGACAGAGCAATGGGAGCTCACCCCATTGTAGGCATTCTAACCACTGACCTTCTGATCAGCAAACCCAAGAGCCTTGGTGGTTTAGACCACAGCACCACCTTTTGCCAGTGCAGTGCTCTTCACTTGAGTGTGCTGTCACCTACTAATACAAAAGCGTTCTGAAACTCAGGTTTAAAATTTTGCAAATGTACAATTGCTGAACATTCTATTCCAGATCCATGTATGTTTCTGGTTCTTTGCACCAGAACAACACCAGCCCTCGTTCTTTTTCTATGGAGTCTCCTTTTTGGGCCAGTGGACACATCTGGAATTTTGAGAGAGTGCTGTGGTCTCCAGTCACAAAATGGCTGTAGTGGGGGTTGTTGCCTAAACCAAAATGGCTGCCTTAGCTAAGAGCAGAACAAGAGGCAGGACTACAAAATGGCACAGGCATGCCCCATTGCCCCGCTCCAATCAATTAGGGGGAGGCACTACATCAGGCACCCCCACATTTTCCCTCTGTTCAGAACAGAAGTGAAGGTGGGTGTCCAGTCCTGGCATCCAATGAAAAGTGGACATGTTTTGGGGAAAATGTTCATTGTAGGAAAGGGGAAACCAGTGCTAATAGGGACTGAGCACGAAGACCAAATAGTCCCTCATGTATTGTGTACTTTTGAGGCTTTTTGGGGGTACACTGATGCCTGTGGGCGCCATGTTGGCAACCTCTAATCTAAGTTGTCTTCTAGTACTATATTATCTTCCTCAAGCATAATTCCTGACTCCTCTTTGTTGGACTTGTTTATAGTGATGAAAATTGAGTTCCCTCTGGAAGACTCTGCTAAAATTTCATTACTGCCTAGCAGGTTTCAGTAGCATAAATACATTCACCAGATTATCCAGTTAATAAGGTGTGGTAGCTTCTGTTGGTCAGGGATGTCTGCACCTCTTGTCTTTCGTACGGCTTCATACCTCTACTGTTAGTACCTCCTTCCTTGCCCTGTGTTCTTCTGTGTCGTCATAACTCTGGAGTCTTACAGAACAGGCCAATCTGTTCAGGCAGGTAGAATCAGAATCTAGTCTTATATAAATAAGCCCACAAAAGTTACCTGCAGTACCATTTCTTTTACATGCCTGCTAAGGGGCTAGTAGCCTATGTCACTGTGCTGGCCATAGAAAAGGGGGAGCACTCTCCTTCCCAGCCAGCCTGGAAACACAGACTAAAAATATTGCTTTCCTCCAGGTAGGCTGGTGGAGGTGATCCAACCTGGAGGTTTCTATCCTGGCTGTGGAGGAAAGACTTTCCTCTACAGTTAGCACAGAAGCCAAATAGTTTGGCAGAGGAGGCATGGAGCCAGGTCACTGCACCTATGAATTTAACCACTAACTTGGCAGCCATAGCTGATGTGGCCCAACTCCTTGCCCCAGTGCAGGAGGTTTGCTGCTAATATAAAGCTATTGGTGTGAGTTCAGGGTTTGGGAGATACAGTTAACATTCTCTTCTTACCCTATTCCTCCCCAGGTACTTGGTGAAAATTTCTGAGCTCTTTGAGAAACTCCGGGTAACTTTTATTTTATTTTATTTTTTATTTAAAACATTTATATCCCACCTTTCACCAAAAAATAATCCAAGACAGTAACATCCCTATTAAAAGCAATCAAAACATTTAAGATTGTATTATAAAACATGAGTAGCATAAAACAGCAAGATAAAAATGTAATCTACAGAAAAAGCAGCAGGAGACAAAACAAAAAACTACAATTGGCACATGTCATCAGTATAAAACCATATCGGTCAGAAGTCTTTCTAAAATGGAAGGTATTTGCCATCTGACAAACTATTGTAAGGGAGGGGTCAGCATTCACTTCATCAGGAGGGATTTCCTCTGAGAAAAATCTCTCCTTGGACACAGCCTGACGGACTGCACTGGTCAGTTGGGACACACAAGAGGGCATCTGACGATGATCTTAGTGGGCAGACCAGTTAATAGTGCAGGAAACAGTCCCTTTAGTATCATTAGCCTAAAAACCACAGGCCAGTTCAACTAAGAAGGTGCTTTAGCAGGAACCAGCACAGCAAACTGACTCAGGGTGTGTGTGTGTTTCAGGGTCTGGAGAACCCCCAGAACAGTGCCTGGTGGGAGGAAAGGGGAGACTGTTCTATCAGCAAGCTGAAGTGCTTATGCTGACAGAACCATTGGAAAAGTGCAACGTTCAATTCCTCCCCATAATGGATGTTAAAGAGTATTGCACTCTGGACCAAACTGAGTTTCCAGATACCTTTTCAAAGGAAGCCCCACTTAGAGTGCATCCAGTAAGAGTAGTCCAGACAAGGTGTAACTAAGACATGTGTTTTCATGGCCAGATCTGTAGTTGGTGTACCAGTTTGTGCTGGGCAAAGGAATACCCACCTGAACATAATTTGTCAGAGTTGGGTCCAAGGGTACAGTATTCCAAAATAATAACCTGTGTTTAGTGCCACACGGCTTTGAACCCGTGTTTCTAGAGGCAGCAGTTCTACCTGAACTGGAACCCCTACTGACGTGCACAACCAACTTGTGATTCTGCATGCTCTCTTCTGGATAACTTTGTTGATTTGTTGAATTATTGGGGAAATGTGTGGTGTGTGGTGTGTTATGGGTTAGCAGCTACAGTGCCATAAAGTTCAGTATGCCTGCCTGCCTGCCTGCTGAAGCAGAGCACCATAGCTATTCCTCGATTAAGCTTCATTTGTTAGCCTACAGGCAGTCCATGGAGGCCCCAGGCACTGATCCAGAATCTCAGCAAGGTTGATCTTTGAGGCACCTTATAAGCAAATGACCAAGGTGTAAAATAGAAGTTCCCCAGCACTGCTTTCTAGAACAGGCTTCCTCAACCTCGGCCCTCCAGATGCTTTTGGCCTACAACTCCCATGATCCCTAGCTAGCAGGACCAGTGGTCAGGGATGATGGGAATTGTAGTCTCAAAAGATCTGGAGGGCCGAGGCTGAGGAAGCCCGGTCTAGAATCATATCCTCAAGTCACACTCCTGTGTCCTTGTGTGGGTCATTCAGCAG